TAATTCGTAAAGACTCCAATAGGCACATATTTGGCGTGCGCATTTACATATGTAAGAATTCACCCATTTGTCAGGAAACTAAGTTTGAATCCACGGACTGTTCTTTCAAGTGCTTTCATTTAGCACCACTTCACTCTATTGCCTTTCTCTTTGTTCTATATTGCTCTCCTTTATCTCAAGACTGCATTCTTTATGATATTCTTTCTGATCATATTGACCAAGCCCTCTCTCTTTATCCATCAGCCAATATTGTTGTTGTCGGTGACTTTAATGCTTATCTCACTGAATGGCTTGGCTCTAGTGTCAGTGACTCTACAGGCATTAAAGCCCACAACTTTTGCCTTTCTCAATCCCTAACTCAAGTAGTCAACTTTCCAACTCGCTTTCCAGACAACCCAAATCATTTACTTTCTCTACTTGACTTATGTCTTGTTTCTGATCCTAGTCAGTGTGCAGTTTCTCTACATTCACCCTTAGGTGCCTCTGATCAGTTTGATCTCTCTAAAACTATTATCTCATTCTTCTTTATCATCAGAATCCCCCTATCGTTGTACATCATACAACTACCTTAAAGCTGACTGGGACTCTTTCCATAATTTTTTTTGTGATGGCCTTTGGGTAGAAATCTTTCATCTTCCTGTTGACAAATGTGCTTCTTACATAACTTTGTGGATTCAGGCTGGCATGGAATCCTTTATTCCTTTCCGACAATTCCAGGTCAAGCCTAACTCTTCTCCATGTTTTTCCTCACATTGTGCTGCAGCAATTGCTAATTGAAACCGTTACTTCCATATCTATAAGCAAAACAATTCTCCGGATAAAATAGACGTCTGTTTATTACTGCCAAAACCATTGTAAAAAGATTTTGTTTAACGCCAAAGCCCTTTATTCTCAGGTCAGTCGACAAAAATTATGCACTTGTGACTTCTGGAGAATCTTTAATAGCATCAATAAGGCCAAATCTGTAACTCCACTTCTCTTGTATGGTTCAGACTTAATTACCTCACCTAAAGACAAAGCTAAATTGTTTGCTAAAAACTTTTTATCAATATCATTTCTTGATTCCACTAGTTGCATTCTACTAATATAGCCGTCAAACAGGTTGATCCATTGCTTGACATATTGACGGATCACTCCAGCTTTTGTATCTAAAGTGATTTTTCTGCTAAGACTTTTATACAGTTTGTGGCCCGGACAACATACCTGTTATAGTCTTGCAGAAGTGTTCTCCGGAGCTGCCGTCTATCCTTTAAAAACTATTCAATAAGTGCTTATTAGAGTCTTGTTTTCCATCCTGCTGGAAAGCAGTATCTGTTACCCCTATTTTAAAAATTTAGGAGAGTGATCTGATTCGTCCAACTACTCTCCCATTAGTCTTCTTCCTATCATAAGCAAGGCTTTTGAATCTTTAATTAACAAACACTTAATCTCTCATCTTGAATGTAATAACTTACTTTTTGATCATCAATATGGATTTTAATCTTTTCGTTATACGGCTGATTTGCTAACAGTAACAAGCGATAGGTTTTACCGTGCATTAGATAAAGGTGGAGAGATTAAGGCCATTGCTCTTTACATTTATAAAGCATTTGATAAAGTTTGGCATGCTTGTCTTCTCCATAAGCTTTTATCTTACGGTGTATTTGAAAACATCTTTAAGATTATTGAATCCTTCTTTTCCAATCATAGTATAAAAGTTATCCTCGATGGACAGCACTCTTCTTATTATTCTGTAACCTCAGGGGCTCCTCAAGGTTCAATTCTTAGCCCTATACTCTTTTTAATTTACATTAACGATCTTCCAGATATTCTCACAACTAAGGTGGCATTGTTCGCTGATGATACTACTATTTATTCTTGTCACGATAAGAGGCCAACTTCCTCTGATTGCTTGCAGAGGACATTTGAGCTTGAAAAGAATCTCACTTCTGCTACAGCATGGGGCTCACTGTGGCAGGTGAACTTTAATTAAGATAAAACTCAATTTTTTTCAGCCAATCGTTATCGCAATAATTTAGACCCTCCAATATTTAGGATTGGTAATGTACTCGATGAGTCATCTACCCTTCATCTTCTAGGATTAACTCTAACTTCCAATCTTTCTTGGAAATTATATATCAAATATGTTGCATAATTAGCATCTGCTAAGGTTGCATCTCTTTATCGAGCTCGACACTTACTTACTCTGGATTCTATTCTTTATCTCTATAAATCTTAAATCCGGCCTTGTATGGAATACTGTTGCTTTATCTGGGGCAGATTTTTTAATGATGCCTTTTCTCTTTTAGACAAGGTGCAAAAACGCATTGTAAACATAGTTGAACCTGCTCAACCATTATCACATTGTCGTAATGTTGCTTCTCTTTCTCATTTCTACAAATACTATAATGAGCACTGCTCTAAAGAGCTAGCATCTCTTGTGCCAACTACTAAAATTCGTTCTCGTGTTACTCGTCATTTAATTAAGTCTCATCCTTTTTCTGTGATTGTTCCTTAAGTGCTCCAAAAACTATTATACCTCTAATTTTTTTCCTCGAACATCAGTTCTTTGGAATTCTGGTTCCTTCATCTTGCTTTTCTGATTCATATAATTTGCAATCTTTTAAGTTGTCTGTCAATCTTGCTCTATAATCTTTATCTTTTATCTTGCTCTAAAATCTTCATCTTTTTTCTTCCAGTAACTTCAAACTCTAATTAATGATTGCTTGCAGCCTTGCTGGAAGCAAAGATGTATATATATATAAAAAAAGGTGCTTTGGTAATAACTTTAAGAAGAATTTTTGCTGAGTTAAATACTTAACTTAATACTTAACTTGCATAATAAAACCAGATTGTGTCAACAGTAAAAAATTTAATGTTTTTTGTAGATACAAACAATTTATGTAATGACATCGTTTTTCAGAGTAAAAACCAGTGCGGTAAGACCCAGTATTACAGGGTTGTTCCCTGTGCAGTAAGATCTTGTATTACGGGGTCACATAAAGACCGCCAGTTTTAACTTATCTCCACCTCTAATATTTTTTTATTTAAAGATAAATGCTGCTTAAGTATGTTATTATTTTAAATTGGATAAATCTAAAGTAGATCAGAAGTACCAAAAATAATTAATTTAACCTATTTACCCCCTTTAAGTGATCAAGGTATAACTCATTTGATTATTATTTTTATAAAATCAATATCCTTTAATATCCTCTTTAAAGTATTATACTATAATCTACTTTAACTTTAAACTTAAAGTGATTTAAACATTCAATACACCAGAACCCCTTACAGTAATAATACGAAGGAAAAATAACAAGAAGGAAAAAAACAATAACTGCAACAAAAATATTAAGAAAACTTTTTATATTGTAATGTTTGCATCTTTTTTCGTATTAATTAATTTGAGATGCTAAAACATCTCTTTCTAAAATATCTATTTTTTCTAAAAGTGTTCCTATGACAACCTCAAAGTAAAATTTAACGTTATAATTATTGAACCAATTCGTAAACAGAGACCCATGATCTAAATGTAGTCTATCAAATTATTACCAGTCTACCAAGTAGTGCCACAATCCCCATAAGAAGATGAAATTCTGGTGGTGGAACTAAGTAATTAATTTCGATTTCATGATTTATATCAAAATAAATAAGACAAGGAATAATCACATTTTAAAAATCTATTATCTACAATCGTTTTGTCCCATTTTCAACAAACAACTTGTACCAATCATCAAGAGTAGGGTACCACTTTCTTGGATATATTCACCTTCACACCACAAGCAGGCATATTTACAAAAATGAGAAGATAAACCAAAGATGCTGCTAGCACATTTTAAACCAAATGCAAGGCGATATGTAACATCATTTAGATTTATTTACTCAAGATTTTCTGCAGATTTCCATGGTCTTCAGCAATATTTTTTACACTTTGTTTGAAAAATTAAGGAAAGTCTAAATAATACTAAAAATAAATGTGGGTTTAACAATAGCAAGAATAAAACACTTCTTAACTTCACTGTCAATGTGTATCTCATTTTTATTGGTCTTGTCAAAGATATTTGCAATTACTTTTAGAAATCCTTAACCTCCATCAATAAATACAGATACTATACTAGAAAGAGGATCCAAGCCTATTTCTATTTAAATACTAAGAATAAATTCATAATTGTCGTGAATAGTTACTATATATCTTGTTACAGTTTTATAATTCCAAACAAAATTATCTTGTTCTATTATATATTTAGATGCAATTTCTTGTTGTAATGATGTCATCATGCTAACTACATTGTTCTCAATGACAGTAGACGAACCTAGATTCTTTTGCAGACTTAATAGCTTTTTTTTGTTGTTGTTGTTGATTTCAGTATAGAAGTTAATTCCATAACTGTTTGGAATGATATCTGATTGAAAAACTTTCTAGAAGATTTATTGTCTTTAGTTCCAACAGTTAAAATTAACGGATTCCTACCTTAAAAGTAAAGTATAATTTAATTAAATATATATTTTTTAACATCTCCTTAACTAAATTTAAAATGCAAATGTTTCAAAAAAAGTTAGCAATCAAAAAAAAATCTTAATTATAAGCCTCATATTCATTTTTGTATGTCTTTAAGTTATATAATTTAGAATATCTAATATAGACTATGAACATTTACATCTTACAACAATTTTATAATGAAAATAAAAGCTCAGCTACCTGTAGATATTTTAAAAGACTGGCATATTTCCCTAATGGAATGGCCTCTCTCAATGCTTTCTCATTCCGTCTTGTTTTTAATTATGCCTGAAGTAACTAGCTCACATGAGGTGGGATCAAGGTTTTCTTACAAATTAATTAGATTCAAAACAGCCTGACTAGAAAAAAAATTGTTAAGACCTCCTGAAGAATAAAATTAACTCTTAAATAATATAAACTTATTAAGCTTAATAAAAGTTTTTTTTTTTTTATTGAAGTTTATACATAAATATTTAACAACTTTTAACTTACTTATTAAGTAATTTAATATTTATTTTTAAACCTTTTGTAAAGAGAGAAAAGCAGCAACTGCAGATATTTTCCTTTGGAGATTCTACAGCTTGTGTTTTGCCATGAGATGATTGAATAATACTACTAAGTTCAGTACTGCGTCTAATTCTTGGCCTGTCAACCTAATTCAAAAACATATACTTTATAAAAAAAACTATTTTTTATTTATCTATGTATTAATCATTCAAATTAAATAAACTGTGTACTTGAGAAACTTTATTCATCTAGTTTGACATATAAATTTTTATCCCTTCTCCAGCAAAACTATGTTTCCTCTATACTTTTAAAAAATAACGCCAAGGTAAACAACAAACTCTTCATTGTACTCAAGCCAAATATATTCCTTGATTTTATTTGCATGGCTGTACTTTTGATAATGATTTTGATTATTTGCCTTTTCTTGCAAAACAAACTGCACAAACAAACTGCTTTAAATCCGCCATTTTCACTGTTCCTTGTCTTTTTCTCTAACAATTTTTCTTATTAGTTCAAATTATTTGAAAAAAAAAGAAGCCAAAAATGATGGATTACCTTGTTTTTAATGATAAATTATAGCCCTTTTTACTTTTTAAAAACTTAAATTACCAATTCTTTTAATCGAGTTCAGATTTTGTTTGCACTTGAAAAACACTTATACAAACTTATACAAACTTATACAAGTTTAAAAAAAAAAATTGAGGTGGTGAGATTTCAAACCTGATGATCTTAATGGCTCACTGTGACCAACAGGTGTTTGAGAGGGGAGGGGTAAGACTAACCCTGTTAGTACCGCATATATTTAAAAAATATGAAATCTTGTTATAAAACCTTTTTTGAAAACTTTTGATAAAACCTGATTTTAATATGCAAGTTTTAAGCAGTAAACTTGAGTTAAACTTCGGTATTGTTATTATTACAAAAGTAGCTGTTATAACAAAAATTACATAATTGCTAAATAATTAAAATTACTAAATTATTAATAAATTTTTTAATTAATAAAAAAAATGGTTATCAGTAAAACTAGGTTTCAGACAGTTACACATTCGCTCCCCAAACTTTGTCATTTGGCGGATACATGATTATCCAGGTTTTCTCAAGTACTTTTTTTTAGTTACAACTCAAAAACTCTTTCAACAATTTAAAATATTTTAACAATCTTATAAACAATAAAGTAATAAAATAGTCAAAAATAAAAAAATGCACATTTATAAACAGATAAATTTTTGTGGCACCATCAATGGCAGGATTTATTAAAGCAATATTGCTATAAAAGTTTTTGAACGTTTTTATAAAAAGGGGGCAGAGTGCACTGTAAATCATAGAGCAATAATAAAAAAATTCTTGAAATAAGAAGAAATAAAAAAATAATAATTATTTGTCTTTCTGTTTTCGCAAAAAAAAAAAAAAAAATTTAACCCACATTTATTTTTAGTATTATTTAGAATTTCTTCTTTTTCAAACAAAGTGTTTAAAAACCTTTCGCACAAAAAATAACTATTTATTTCCAAACTTTTTACCATGCAAACTTCCAATAGTTTTTTTTGGCAAACTTGCATCTGTAAATTTTTAAATTACATTTATAGCCTAATATTGTCTGCAATACAAAAAATTTAAATGTAAGTTAACAATATTTTATTGCTGCAAAATTTAAGAAGATATAGCAAATCAATTTAACAAAGAAAAAATTCAATGAGTAAGAACAATGATTGTATTGATATGCTTACCAATTCAACAAGAACCTTTACATTATAGACCTATTGATAGACCAGCTGCATTATTAACAAAACACTAAAGTATTATTACAACTACTGATAATTATATAACTATTCAAGCACTATTTGCTGCTATCAAATTAAATAATGATGAAAAAAGGTGAAATCCTTCACAAGTATTTAGAAACATCTATAAAATTAATAAAAACAACTCTAACCACAGTTTTAGCATTACTTTTATATTATAACTTAACAATGACTTCCTGCGTAAAGTTTTAATACATGGATATCATATAGTATAAACTATGTATTATAATATATAATATGAATCAAAATATTAGGTATCAGCATGTAGAGAAGTAGCAGCGTCAGGAGAAAATGGTAGAGGTAGAAGTATAAAACCCAAAAAACCTAGATAAACTAAAGGCCACAATAGAAAAATGAGAAGGTATTATATAAAAAATATAAAACAATTTTTTCACCAATTACATTTATTATGTTTGTATGTTTGTGTGTTATATTTTACAGTTTTTGTAGTTACAAAGCTATTATATTATTCTATATTAGAACTATTATATAATCATAATACACTGATTAGTTATTTTTTAACCACAGAATATTAAATATAAACCAAACTAAACAAAAAATATTGCTTATTCAAATTTTAAGAAGAAGTAAAAATATATATTTAACTATTTTACTCATAAAAAAAAATAATAATAATAAAATGTTTTATTCTAAAATTGTTAATTATATATTTTAAAGCAGTTATTTACCTTATTACTCCTAGAAAATTATGAACAACACTATTTAATGACACCAAAATATAGTGGTTTGAGTTTTGATGTAAAATCTGGTTTATACCATAAAATTCTGCTTTTTTTTATAATAATATAACCAATAAAATTATTAATTTTATGAAAACTTAACGAAATTTCGTTATAAAATAGTTAGTTGCATTTCTAAAGTAAATAGTATAATATACCAGATAGTATAATATACCAGATATTTTTATTATATCCTATTCTATTATACTATAATAGAATTGGATATAATAATATAATAGAACTGGTATATTGTACTATATATTATAGTAATTGTATATTAAACAATGGTATATTATACTAAAATTTATAGTATATTTCTATAACTTTTATATTATCCTATAATTTAGAGTAATTAACGAATTTTTTTTTCTTTTTTTTTTCAAACAGAAAAGAAATTTTTTATCAAAAACTAAGAAATAAAGAAAAAATTATTATTATTTTTTTTACCTTATTAAGGAACTTGTAGGTAAAAGTAATTGCTTAATAATTGATAGCACTACTTATGGAAAATAATAATAATAAACATTCCTTTTAAAATAAAATAATTGCAAATAGTTTGTTTGAATTAAATATTGTACCGTGATTGGTTTATTTTAAAGGCAAAGAGGTCGTCTATAAACACGTCACGCTCTGGGCGGAAGGGGTTGTGATTTTGTGACGGCTTGTTACTATTATTACGATATTGAGACAAAAAAGAAGGGGCAGGTGAGGATTTCAAAAACGGTCAAAAATTGCGTGACGTAATATATCGTCGATTCCAAATAAGTTTAAAAAGTTAATGATTGCTTTAATAAAGTTAGAAATATAATAAAATACTTTTAGGAACTCATTGTAAATCTCTAAGTTTAAAAAAAAAACACCACGATTTCAATTTATTTAAATAATAGAAATCGAAGAGATTAACTATAACTACCCCAGCAACTTCAAGATTTTTGTAGTATTTTGATTTTCATGAAAACATGTTTGCCGAAAAACTAATTCTGTAGTTTAAAAGGCATGTGAAGGACAGACGAAGGGGAAGATTTCACGACATGCCAAATAGGAAAAGTTAATTTAATGGTTTTTATAAATTGACAATAGTAGAAATAACTAGATAAAATAATAAAACTACTATGGCAAAATAAAACTTTCTAATAATGCATTTCCTGAAAAAGTTTGTAATCGATATAAAAGCAAAAAAGAATATGAATTTATATTCTTTTCACCTTTTACCATAGATATAAATCATATATTAATTGACCATTAATTTTGACAATGATTTAATTATTCTACAGAGATGTGAGAAAATTTTTTTTTAAAACTATGCACAAAACACGCAATAAACATCTCGAACTCTTTACGTTTAAGTTACTTAGTTTTAATTTGTACTGTAAAAAGAATTTCACCATCATGTCAAGCATGATGTTTGATAGACTGGGGATAGCCTGCCCCTTGTATCCCAAACTTACCGAGTACAACGAAAGCAGGCTATTCCCTTGAGTCAACCTTGCCCTCCTAAAAATTAGTTAGCCGCACTAACCATTGAAATTTCAGCCGATTCTGTAATTAATATTATTTCAGTTTTTTATTTTTTAACAGGAAAAGAAATCTGGGGCCGATGCTAAAATCAAAAAAGTTTTTGATTTTAGTATCGACGTTTTTGTTTTTACGTGGATTTTTTATAAATTAGGTAAAAATTAAATTTTAAGATTCGAATAAAAATAAAAAAACTTAAAAGAAAACAAGTTAGAGAAAGATCTTTGGTAGACTTGACTTAAAGAACGGTAAAGAAGCTTATTTTGTACAAATTATAAATAAACAGTGAATTTGCGTAAAAATAACTTTATGAAGTTGTTTAGACATCAAACACGTACGTTGCTGACTTGCATATAGTTGACATATTGTTATATTACTCGAGTTTAAAAATTATCAATTTATTAATCATACAAATATCATAATAAACCTTTTCTTTTCTTGTTGTTGTTCAAATAAAAAATATTTCATTTTTATATCTTAAACATATATACATATATATATATATATATATATATATATATATATATATATATATATATATATATATATATATATATATATATATATATATATATATATATATATATATATATATATATATATATATATATATATATATATATATATATATATATATATATATATATATATATATATATATATATAGATCAAATATCAATATTTCTTATTAGAATTTCAAAAACAAATCTAAAGTTCTAAAATGTTTATATTTCTATACAAAGTACTATGAAAAAACATGAAAAAATAAAGAAAAATAAATATGGCCGATTTTTAACATTTTTAACGGCCATAGTCCTTATTAAAAAACATAACGCAGTAGTAACTCTTGCTCTGAGTAAAATTTTAAATACCTACTTTCTACTTTTACTTGAGTAAACTTTTTAATCGATACTTTTATTTGTACTTGAGTAAAATTTGGGTTTGTTACACAGTATTTTTGTGTGTGGAAATATTGCAGACAGAATGAAGAGAATATGTATTGATGCTACAAGTGCATACAATTGTTACCTTAACTGATAGTTCAATGTTTAAGATATAAATTTTGAAGTATTTTTTTATTTAAACAACAACAAGAAAATAAAAGGTTTCTTATGATATTTGTATGATTAATAAATTGATAATTCTTAAACTTGAGTAATATAACAATATGTCAATTATATGCAATTTCGTTAATGTTGAACAATTTGTAATAGTATAAACAATTTTTCTTGATAACATTTATTTATTTATTTAATAATAACTGTACATGTACATTTACAATGACAATGTACGGAGCCTAGTTTGGTATTTTTAACATAAATCGGCTTTAACAGCCGATTTATGTTAAAAATAAGTCCAACTTTGATTTAAATTGTTTAAGTGTTTTAGAATCTACAATGTTTTGATCTAAGTTATTCCAGCTGTTAATAACACGGCTTGTTAAGAAATAGTATCTCTTTGGATTTTTAGTTAATTGCCTATGAAATCTCATATTGTGACCTCTCGTATTTGAAGCTATTAAATCTGGTGGGTATTCCAATGTTAAATTATCTATTTTTGTTTACTATTTTGTAAAGTTGGATTAGGTCATTACGTTCGCGTCTTTTTTCAAGAGTCGTTAATTTAAAGTAGATTAGTCTACTTTCATAGTTTTCTCCTTGAAGGCATTATATTCGTGTTGCTTTACGTTGTATCGATTCAATTTCTTTTTATATGCGTTTATATAAAGAACCCTTATTAAGGTTTTTTAAAAACCCTTAATAAGGGTTCTTCATATAAACGCCATATTGTTTTTCATATCGCGTGTTTATTGCAGTTTAACGCTTACCTAGCTTAATGGTATTTTGTTAAAAGCATCAAACAAATTTAGAATCTTAAAAAAATTCGAATTTGAAGTGTTTTGTTGATTTTCGATATGGCAGAATATTTAAATTGGAGTGTAGATGATGTCTGCAGATATTTAGAGTTAAACGGACTGTCAGAATTAAGGCATAAAATTACTGGTTTGATTATTATTTTAAGTTCTTCATATTATAACTATTTTTGAATTTCAATTTTTTATTTTTTTAGTAAAGTCAGTTTTTAACTTAAATCAACTTAAAATATTTTGTAAAGGCAGCAAGCAGTAATATTATATGCTTTACTTGTTCCACATGTGGTATACATAAGTATTCTATGCCAAAATATTTAGATCATTTGCATATTATGCTTGAGCACACAGCTGGTTATCTTGCAGTATGCAATATTGATGGTTGCCCAACATCCTATAAATCTGTAAAATGTTTGCGTCAGCATATTCGAATTAAACATAATACAATTTACTATTCATCTAAATTGTCAACAAACGATTTCAACTGTTGATATACTAAAAAACAAATGTTTAGAAAATTGTGATGATCAAAATATGTTTAATTGTGATGATCAAAACAATGCAAATGAATGTGACAATGCAAATAGCAGTAGTTCTCATATTTATCTATGTCATTAGACAAGTTGCTCGGCAGCTTGCAGCAGCATTTTGCATTGTTTGTTGCCGGAATAGCTTATAAGCATTCTATACCATCTGTTGTGCAAATTGATTTAGTTAATGAAGTCCAATCCTTGCTAACTTATTACAATAACAATTTTTGTAGTATAATAAAACAGGAATTAGGTGACAGCTTAGTATCTAATAAAAATTTGCACAATTTGTCAAACAATGAATTGCTTTTAAATAGAGTTTTATCAGTTGTCAACTCCAACAAAAAAATTATTGCCTTTAGTAAAACCAATTTAGGACTTATTTTACCACTTGAAATAAATTTGTGTAGCAAAGATGATATTTTAGGTGAAAATGATTTTGTTGTAGAATCAATAGAAATTGATCATCAAAATGGTTTACCTGAAAGTGCTATTATTAGAAATGATTTTGCTGATACAACTTGTATTAATGATACTAACAAAAGCATTAAAGAAACTTTTTAATGAATACCAATTTTACCGCTGCTTAAACAGTTAATTGAAAAGGAGGAAATATGGAATTCTATAAAACGAAAATTAGAAAATGATTTATCTGAGAAAAAGTATTTGCTATACTCATATTCAGATGGTTTTATTTGGAAGCGCCATGACATTTTTAATGACAAGTATGCTTTAAGATTCCATTTGTGTATTGATGAATTTGAGGTATGCAATCCTATTGGAGCTCATCGCACAGCGCATAAAATATGTGCATTTTACTTTTTCCTGGGTAACATTGAAGATAAATATATATCAAGACTTCAAAATAAATACTTATGTATTCTTGTAAAAAAAAAATTAATTAAAAAGCATAAAACATACAAGGATGTTTTAAAACATATATTTATATATATATATACATTTTTTCTCACTTGCACGCCTTCAGAGTCGTTGAAGAAGAAAATTTGACAATATGCATACTAACAGATGTTTTTGATCACCAGTTGTTAGATACATATGTTTGGCAGTATGGGTGCTCTTATATTACACTCAGATACAGTTGTTTTTTATAAAATCTCTATATATTTTTATTATAACAACAATATTGTAGTTTGATAGCATTGTTAGAATACTTTTTTTTCTAGTCAAAATGTATTATAAATACAAATATTTAGCTTTACTTTTTATTGATTAAAAAAAAGTACAAATTTTATTGTGTTATTTTTGTTAAGAGCCGCTGCTCTCTCTAAATGATTAATTATTTTATTGAATTAATTTAAAATTTCAAAGTTTACCCTTTATTAATTTTTGTAACAGGAAGAAATTGACGGAAAAACACTGGTGTCTTTAACTGAGACAATGGTGGCCAGTTTATGTCAGACGATTTGTAGACAAGTAGTTCTCATTGAAGTTATAAATAATCTTAAAACTTCACATGCACAACAAGAAGCGAGCATTAGCTCTTTGTAAACTAATTTTCATTTTAGCATACATATTACTTTTTAACTATTTTTTTATTACTTTTTAAGTTATACCTGTTTTAAATCGCTGCTAAATATTAGTAGACCATATAAGATATCTGTTTTTTTTTTTTTTTTACCAAAATAA